AAGCCTCTACACTGCGCCCCCCGACGCCGGCTGCCCCCCCACGGGGGTGCTGGATTCCGCCAGGACCGCGGGCCAGTCGGGGCTGTCGCCTGTGCCCACGCCCACGCCCTTGGCGCCCGGGGGGTGCTTGGGCCAGTCCTGCAGGAGGCTGACCGCCGGGGGCTCCTCCATGCGCACCCGGATGACCTGAAGATCCAGTGTTCCGTGGAGCCCTGGCGGGGGAGCTGGGCAGGGATGGGAGTAGAGAGATAGTGAGGGCCTCGCCAACACCCACAGGGGTGTCCTCTGAGAGCGCCAGGCTGTGCCGTTTCCAGGCCCCCACTGTGCCCGCAGCCCGGCTCCTGGTGCAAGGGGCAGCAGGGCTCTGCAGTTGATGCCCGGAAGACGAGGCTCCCAGGAAGCCTTCCTCCCGCGGGCATAAGGACAGGGACGTGGGGCACCTGTCCTCACCGCTCTTACCTGCTGCTGACTCCATGCTGCCCCATGCTGTCTGAGGGGGCAGGGAACACCCAGAAGCCATCCAACACATGTGCTCCCCGCCCAGGGAGTTGCCAGGGATTTTGTGGGACAGGAAAGAGCCCTGTAATGAGTGTCGCCTCTCCTCTGCAACTTGGACCAGCTCTTTATCTATAGGGAGGTAACAGTGCCTGGCCAGGACCAGACGCCAACCTTAGGTATGTGGAGAAGCTACTTGCCAGGGGCCAAACTCGGCCTTAGGGCAGGGGGAAGTGGGCTGACATGGCTGGGGTGCAGCCACAGAAGTGTCCTCTCTGCCAGGTGGTGGCTCACACCTGGAATCCCAGCACTTTGGGAGGCAGAAGTGGGAGGATGATAGCTTGAGCCAGGAATTCAAGACCAGCCTAGGCAACGGTGGGCAACCATTTTTTGTCTCTACAAAGAGATTAAAAACTGAGCCAGGTGTGGTGGCACACGCCTGTCGTCCCAGCTACTTCGGGGGCTGAGGATTGTACGAGCCCTGGAAGTCAAGGCTGCGGTGAGCAGTGATTGTGCCACTGTACTCCAGCCTGGGCTACAGAGACCCTGACTCAAAACAAAACAATGTCCCCTGCAACACAGGCATGCACACAAGTTACATTACATTGAAAAACAACAGAAAATGGTGTTTACAACTGCTGTACCCTCTACAGAGAAGGACTTGCTTGTGGATTTTCCTACACTATCAGACAACTATTATTATTATTTTGAGTCGGAGTCTCACTCTGTCACCCAGGCTGGAGTGCAGTGACACACTCACGGGCACCACAGCCTCAACCTGCTGGGCTCAGGCGACCCTTCTGCCTCAGCCTTCCAAGTAGCTGGAACTACAGGTGTGCCACCACGCCCAGCTATCGTAGAGACGAGGTCTCACCAAGTTGCCCAAGCTGGTCTCAAACTCCCGGGCTCAGGCAATCCTCTTGCTTTGGCCTCCCAAAGTGCTGGGATGACAGGCTTGAGCCACTGCACCTGGCCTCAATATTTTAAATGTGGCAGCGAAAACAGGCACAGTTTCATTGTGCAGTTTGTTGGAGTTTAAAATAACTTAACTTTGGACTTGGCAGTTATGTAGAGAAAACAATTAGATAACTTAATGGCTGCCACCACTTAGCAAATTCTGCGTTAAGTGTTTTCATAAGCCAATAAACCATAAGCTCCTTGAGGGAAGACTGGATCCAACTCATTTGTTCATTAATTCAACAATAATTTATTGAGCAACTGTGATGGGCCCAACGCTGTTTCAGTTACCAGGGGAACAGCTGGGAATGGAGCTGGCCAAACGGCCTTCTTGGAACTCACATGTTCACGCAGAGCTGATCAGCAGGGTCAACAAAGAGAAGATGTGGCATGTTACGCATGATGCGAAGTGGGAAAATACACCAGGGAGCTGGGCACGGTGGCTCACGCCTGGAATCCCAGCACTTTGGGAGGCTGAGGCGAAGACTGCCTGAGACCAGGAGTTTGAGACCAGCCTGGGCAACTTGGCGAGACCTTATTTCTACAATTAGCCAGGTGTGGTGGCACGTGCCTGTAGTTCCAGCTACTAGGAAGGCTGAGGCAGGAGGATTGCCAAAGCCCTGCAGGTGGAGGCTGTGGTAGCCCTGAATGTGCCACTGCACTCCAGCCTGGGCAATAGAGACCCCGACTCAAAACAAAAAGAGAAAAAGATAAATACACCAGAGAAAGGAGACAGGAAAGCAAGGAGTTCACTGACAGAGAGCAGGGAGGCAGAGGGGGTGAGGTGTCAGCTCTGCAGACTGCTGTGGGAACGGCACCCAGGGTGGAGGGAAGTGCAGATGCAGACGCCCTGGCTGCCGAAGGACCAGCAAGGCCACGCCTGTGTGTGCAGAGTGCACAGGGTGTGGCGGGACTGGCAGGAACCCGGGTGAAGGCTCACTGGCCACCCAAGGATTCTAGCTTTTATCTGAAGCCCGACAGGAGTTCTGAGCAGAGGGACCGTGTCTGGCTTGCATTTTCACTGGGGACATCTGGGCTCTGCAGAAGCCAGGTGGCCGGTTGGGAGGTTTGCCACAGGAGGTGAGAGGCAGCGTGCACAAGGGCAGTGGCAACATAATGAGGGAACAGCAGGGGATCTGCTGTGGCTTGATGCGGGCGGGGTGGAGAGACAGGAAAGGTGCCCCCAAGGATTTGGCCACAGTCAAGGGACATTGCTACTGGCGGTGGGGTGTCGGGGCAGACAGGCTTCCGTCTGGATATGCTGAGTGGGCCTTTCAGACAAAACAAGATGTCACCTGGGCAACTGACAGAGGCCAGAACCAGGCTGGCCGGTCGAGGTAAGAGTGACGGTGCAGAAACGGGACTGGACGCTGTGAAGTCGGGTGAGAGCTCCCGGGCGTGAGCACTGCCATCGACCCGGGGGTGCGGCTATGGAATCACTTTCTCGGTCACCAATCACACAAGCATTGCCTACTCCGTGCCAGGCACCATCCTGGCCACATCCCACCCGGCAGGCCCTTACACTCTAGAAGGGGAAGACAGACAACTGGACTTGTTGCCAACCCTGGGAGCTGAGAAGCAGCAAGCAGCAGGTGTCAGGAAGGGAGAGAGAGTGAGGGAGGGGGAAAGCCAGGCAAGCGCCTGCTCATAAAGCCGAAGGAATAAAGCTGGCTCCAGGGCTGGGGACGGGCCACCCATGATCCCAGCACTTTTGGAGGCTGCGGTGGGAGGACTGCTTGAGCCCAGGAGTCTGAGGCCAGTCAGGGCAACATAATGAGGCCCCACCTCTACAAAAAGTCAAAAAACCAGCCAGGCATGGTGATACATTCTCTTCCGGAGGCTGAGATGGGAGAATCCCCGGAGCCCAGGAAGTCAAGGCTGCAGTAGCCGTGAGTGTGCCACTGCACTCCAGCCTGGGCAACAGAATGAGGCCTCCACTCAAAACCAAAAAACCAAACAGGGAAGCTATGTCCAAGCAGGAGTGCATGATGGGTCCTGTCAGATCACAAAGGGAAGGAACAAGAACCAACCATTGGAGTTAACTTTACAGAAGTCAATGGCGACTTTGCCAAAGAAGCAATTTCAGGCCGGGCTCGGTTTGGGAGGCTGAGGTGAGTGGATTGCTGAGCCTGCGGGTTTGAGACTCACCCGGGCAACGTGGTGAGACCTCGTCTCTACAGTACATTTTTTAAAAATTAGCTGGGCATGGTAGCGCTTGCCTGTAGTTCCAGCTGCTTGGAAGGCTGAGGCAGAAGGACCACCAGAGCCCAGCAGGTCAAGGCTGTGGTGGCTGGGAGCGGCCACTGCACTCCAGTCTGGGTGACAGAGTGAGACTCCAACTCAAAAAAAAAATAAACAATTTCAGTGTGGAATGCTGAGGGCGGAGTCGGCCTGGGGTGGATTCAAGAGAGACTGGAGGCAGCTGGTACAGAAAACACGTTCCAGCTTTTCAGAAAAGACCTGGGAACAAATGGGACAGTAGCTAGGGAGGATGGGGGGCCGAGGGAGAAATGACAGCTCTGTGTATGCTGATGGGGAAGACCCAAAGAGACGGGGGTGTGGGGGGTTGGCATGGGTTCTAGCCATTGGCAGAGGGCCAGCCTTGGCTAGTGGCAGCTCAGCTACATGAGTGGGAAAGCAGGCAGAGAATGGCAGGCGTGGCGGAAGGGGTTGGCTGGGAGCAGGCAGAGGCAGGTCAGGGGTCAGCGTGGGTGTTGCAGAAACAACAGGGTGAGTAGCCCTGAGCTTGGACCTGCGCTCCCCGAGGCTTGGCGTCCTCTTCTGAAAACCACACACAAGGCAGGCAGCCGCGGGGACTGAGTGGGGCCACACATCAGAAGGGCTCAACAGGTAGGGCCTTCCTGCACCATGAGAGTTAAGGGCCAATTCTTCCGGGCAGCAAGGGAGGCTGAGGTGTGGGCGGGCGGGAGGTCGGGAGAGGAGGCCTGAGAAGTGGTAGAGAGCAGAGACCCAGAGCCTGGAAAAGCAAGCCTGGGGGCCTGGGCAGTCCCTGGGACAGCCGAGCCCTTCTGTGCCAGGCCCCAGAATGGGCGCCCCCCACCCCCCACCCCCCACAATGTGTGCACATGGTTACACACGTTCTGCAGAGGGTGGCACCGAGCCCGATTCCCCTCTAACTCCGGTCTGCCTCTGAGCAGGAACTCTGGAAAAGTCAGCCCCATAACGACAAGTCAAGGCGGCCATCTGTCACCTGCCCATCATCAATCACCCACAGATCAATCATCCTCTATGTTTGCAAGATGTTTGTACCCAGGGCTTTCTTTGTGCCAGATCCTGTGCCAGATGCTAAAGGTACAGCAAGTCAGCCACCACGCCTCACCAATGTTTTGGTTTTATGTAGAGATGAGGTCTCGCTCTGTTGCCTAAGTTGGTCTCTAACTCTCGGGCGTACCAAAAACAACACGTGCTCCCTCACAATGCGTCCTGCTTGGTCCAGCCTGGAAATAGTGTGGATGGGGCCCAGGCGTCCTTGGCCAGAACTCATGTTCAACACCAGCAAGACAGAGAGGCTCTTTTCTTTGTGAGTGAGTTCTTGCAGTTCACCTTGTGGCCTGAACTGGGCACCCTCATCCTCAAGCTGCAAGTCCCTGGAAAGTTATCTTCCCAGACTGCCTCATGTTTACACCATCAGCTCAGCTAACCTAACCACAGTGACCATTTCCAACTTCTAAATCCAGGATTCTTTTTGTGAGTTGGAGTCTCACTCTGTGGCCCAGGCTGGAGTACAGTGGCACGCTCACAGCCACCCCAG